GCCATTCCCCGACTAACCAAATACGGCTAGTCTTGAGCTCCTCAAGGAGATGCCGCCCGATTTCGGCAACTAAATGGATGTGCAAATGCAGCCATGCGTCCATTCTATTGTTGCATATCAAGTTTCTCTCGCTAAGCAAGTTTTAGGTATTCTCTCTTGAGTGAAATTAATACGTGACGACGTTCGAGCGGAGTATCACCCCCGCTGGCTCGTTTGCGCAAGTTAAGGCTGCGACCAAGTGGCGCCTTCTATTTCTTCTTGTAGTCGATACGTCTATCCTGCAGCTTGCTTGCTGCAAGCCTGCCATGTAGACTTCAGGATATTCTTGTTTTTCGTTTAGATTTGTGACTTTTTAAGTAATAGTTTTCTTTACTCTTGGCATAATGATCCTGTCTCTGGTTGTGCTTTCCAATATATCACACTCCGTCGCGCTCGCTTCTTCTTATAGTTCTCCATTATCGCTTCCAGTATAAAGTACTCCTTCGCAGACAGTGCTAGATATGTTCAATGTACAACCATACGCTCCTCCCCGAGTAATAATTAATAATACCATATTATGTGGCAATGCTGTGAAACAGCGCATAATAGATTGTCGTTAGAGCCTTTATGTCCAAAACAATATATCTCATTTTTTTCACTATACATATTCTATGTGATGTTCCCATTTGATTCTCGAGTCCATCACAATTCTAAGATACTGACGATACCGTACTCTCTTCAGTGGCTTTTTCGTAATATCAACGTCGTTCTCATTTTTTCAGTATAATTTCGTGGTATATCGTGTCGAAAGAAATTGCTAATTCTCAGAAAAAAACTACCACTTTTTCATTTTCGTCCACTCCTTTTATTTTCTTTTATTAATTATATAACATTCTTTGCTCTATCATTCTTTATTCCCACTTGCTTTCTACAACAAAACTATTTATTATATTATTTTATGTTTCGATAATAGATTACATAATTTCTCATGTATTATTTTTTCAAAAACTTTGTCAATGCTTACAATTAATGATATAGGCCTATTGTTCGTAGGTTGCATTTGTGTATTGTAAATATATTTTGCTCGTATACCTTTATATCAAATTTAAGATATGATCGCTGCGGTTCTTCGTATTGATGATGTTCATCTCAACATTATTCTTCTTAATATTACAGCGGATATTAATAGTGCGTTTCAACAAAGTCAATGAAGGATGTTTTCTTTCGTGTTCGATTACAGCTGAAACACGATGTTAAGATTCGCCTTTATTGTCTGTAACAATTCTTTTGCATTTACTAACTACATAGTTCTTAATTTGCTTGACTTGGTGACCTCACTACTTGTATTGATATTTCTAAACAGATTTATTGCTGATAACGGCAATGCATAATAGTTTCCGGTATATAATCAAGACATTCGAATGATAATTAATTATTCTTGTTTAAGACTCTCTATAAAGAATTCCAAACATAATTGTGACCTGGTCGGTCGGTGTATAAGATTGGATGTCTTTTTTTAATACCAAGTTTTCTGCACGCAGATCCACTGGCATTATCAAAACAGTTCATTTTTTTCGATGAGACAAGTCCTACAAAACTTAGTTAAATTTTGGAAATCTATTTCAAACTGAAATAATTTATAAATTGTTAGAAAAGAGGATGTTTTCTGATCGGCTTTTTTATATTGCATTAACAATTTATGACTTATTTGAATATGAGATAGTTTCTGGTAAAAAATGTGGCTTTACTTCATCGAAGTAAATAAGCTCTAGAACGCCCACTATGGACAAATTGGCATGCGTGTGAAACAAAGTGAGCTAATAAAACTGAAAAAAAAAAATTAGATCGAAATCAGGGTTGAAATGTTTTTGTTACTTCCGAAGTAATGTGTTCGGAGAAAGTTTCATATTTCCAGGTACATAATAATATAAAATGTAATTTTCAGTAAACATCCACCTAAATGTGATCCGAATTAATAATCAAGCGACCTGAAATAAATCTATGACAATATATATAAATAAAGTAACTATTTAGAAGAACATATAATCAACGAGTTCTTCGGGAAAGGAAGCTACTTGTCCATGGGGCGACAGGGTTTTTATACGTAAATTATTCTAGTAAATATTTGCTAGAGCACGTGGATTTACGTCGGGGCAAGTTTTATCTCTTATCCTGCTGGTGATAGAAAGAAAATGTTCTGCTGGTAAAATGAAGTAATTTAGGCAATTAAATTATTTATTGTCGTTCCGTTGAGTTGTCATGAAAACATTATGAAATATCGAGATGGATACGTTCGAGGGAATGACGGCATTAGCCGGAGATGTTTGACGGGTAGCGAAAGCAGCTTAAGTGAAGTCGGCGTCAAGTTGGCGCCACTCAAGTCGAGAGGGTTTTCGACGACTGCCCCACGCTCAGTTATATCACGCGAACGACCGCGCCGTTCCTTCGTTTGCTGCGCTTCCGACATATCATAATAGACGACAAGAGGGTGCATATCCGCGCCGGGTTACTCCGCTGGAGATTTTCCACGACGTTAGGGCGCGATAATCGCAGCGTATACTCTCGGCCATTCAATTTTCTCGTCTCCCGCAGGCGGCCGGTCTTCTCCTCCGCTGATCACGGGGGTATCTGATTTTGCTGATGTAGTTTTCCTCGCATTTTCGGAATCGCTTACAGCAGCGGCCATTCGTGGCAATGGCGAACGCTCGGGCCTACGCAGAGAAACTGCTTCTCTCATATTGCCAAAGATCCTTCATCTCCCTCGTGCCATCTCGACTCTTTCGTTGATGCTCGCACGGAAATGGGAGGCTTTCGCCGCCGAGATTAGAATCGATCAGTACGCATTCATTCGTCAATATTTCCCTACGGCTTTTCTCTTTGGAGATCCACCGAGTCGCTTAGTTTCTGACGCTCTTTTAGGAGACGGATCATACGCGTGAATCGCTCTATTATCAAACAAGCTTGAAAAACGTTTGACTCTAGACAGTGTGGATTATCGTATCTTCAAAGTGGCAGCGCACATATTCCGATCGTTCGAAAATAAAGTCTCGCGAAGGAAAGTGGGCCAAGACAGTCGGAGAAAATAATCGGTCGGCGCAAATAAAACATCGATGGAGTGCAGCGAAGATAACGAGCAAGTAAAAGGAGCGTCAAGGAAGAGGAAGCGAGGATTGTCAGGAGGAGCTTCTCGCCGCGGTTTAAGGATAAAAGTGGCGGGCACGGAGCTTATTATGCTACAAGCGTGCCGCTGCTCGTTGGCTCCTTCTTTCCGCAGCCGAATACACGTATAATAAAGCGTAGCAGGCGTCGGCTAAGCGAAAGGCGAAATAGAAAATTCATTTTGTCACGGAGGAAGGAGCGCGCGGGCTTAGGCCGAGGATAAAAAGGGGGCAAGAGAGCGGCGCAGGCGCCAGATGCAGACTGGAAAGACGCGGAAAAGTGGCAGATCCGCCAGATATTCTCCCCTTCGCGGAGGATCCGCGGGGCGAAGGAAAAGAAAGGAGAGAAAAAACGGCTTGGCGCTAAGGCGATTCTCGGCAATGGCGCCACCCTCGTATACCTCTGCTCGTACTTTTCTATAGCACTTATAGCTCCGAGCGCTGTATCTCGCAGAGGCATCTCGCGCGCCAGTCCCCTACAGGCTTTTTCCGCCTCGGGCTGCGCGCAACAGACAAGCGCAAAGGGACACGCCGGTTTAATGGAACGCACTGCCGCAAACTACGCAAACTCCGATCGAGTCGTTATGCCGATTTGAAATGGACCGAGAGTCGAGATATGGCCCTTCGATCGGCCAGCCAGCCTTCGCGATCGATATCGCTTCGCGCCGAACATTTCCAAATCGAGTTCCCAGTCATTCATCCCACCATTATCTACCGTTCGAAACTTGGAATCGCGAGGATTTTATGGAAGCGCGTGGAGAAGCATTTTCGCTCGTAAATAGGTCTACTGCTGACGTGGCTCCTAAGCCTTCGGCTAAGACACCTCGCGGAAAAGGGTTAGGTGAACTGTGAAGAAGGTGTCTCGCTTGTCGTAAGTCGAGCAAGAAAAGCAAACGGGCTTCGCGTTCAACTGCCGCTTCAAAATTCTGGTCGTTGCGATCTGATGAAAAAAGCCGTTGAAACGTTAACGGTAATCGCCAGAGTCGTTGCAGTGGCCATTTCGACCACGAGTCTTTTTCAGGCAGGAACTTTCGGCCGGGCGACGTTGTCGCCGTCGTAATAGCAAATGGATTGGTATCGGTAGCGAACGGGCCGAGACGTCAGCAGCAGTGGCTGGCGTTCTTTTGTCTATGTTTGCGTGCGTCGACCCTCGGCGTCGTCGGAGGTCAGCTGCCGGAGACTGCGCGCAGCCTTTCTCTCTCTCTCTCTCTCGCGCGAGCCCGCGAGCGGCGCAGCTGTAGCACAAGCTGCAAGACGCGGCGCTCGTCGCAAGGGCTATCATCGAGAAATTTCAGCTTCGCCGTTTTTGTCGTGCCCGTCGTGGTCGTCGTGGTCGTGCCAGTCGATGCCGGAAATTACGGACAACCGCCCACTTGGCTCTTCCACTTTACTCGGGCTATCGGAGCCCTCGAGAGGTTTAGCCGGCAGAATTATATAACGACAGTTTATCCGAGACAGCTCGCCCGAAAGCTGATCGCTTTATTCATGCGGAACAAATGCTGGCCTGCGGGCTTCGTCGAGTGCGCGCGCCGAGATCTTCGTGACTACGTGGCCGAACGACACTCATTGCATGCCGGCTGGCTCGTCGGCAAAGTGCTTGCAATTAAGGCGAAGAAGAAGCGAATCAACGAGTAGCTGGAAGAGCTGAAATGCCGGAAAGAGGCAGTGCTGATCTAGACTGAGAAGACGTCACGATTATGGGCTGCAACAACACTCTCGTACGTTGCCTCGTATAGTAACGCATCTTTTCTTACTTTTTTGCCGCCCACCCCCCTCCCGCCCATCCCCTTTCTCGGTCGTCGAGCTTGCGGTCTGCCGCTTCATTGGACGAGACGCGCTGTACGTGCATTAGACACCTCTTACCTTGTTTGCCTGGCGCTGCAGCTTGCTAATCGTGGCACGATCGCGTTGCGCGGCAAGCCGCTCGCCGTGCAAAACTCGTTCCAATTCTCGCATTTGCAGTTCCAAGTTTTCCTGCAATCAAACAACCAAGAAGACGTCAGCGAGGGGCCGTAAGAAAAACTCGAGCGAGCCTCGGTCGGTCCGCCGAGCTGCTCCTTTTGCAGAGCTGGTCGCGGTCGGCGAACCGGCCGACCCGAGAGGCGAATTCGTCGCGTGCGCTGCCCCCAATCGCGAACATCGGTCCGGATCGGATTTGCCAGCGCGAACGCGTGAAATGGGCTGGCTCGCACGGAGGCGCACGGGGCTGCTCTCTCGGGACTTGTCTCACGGCCAATTTCGCGACGAGTGCGCCGCGGCGTCTTGGCTATAGCGCGCGCGCGCGGCTGTTTGTCGAAAAGTGGCAAGTTGCGGCGGGGGTGGCGGCCAGACGGCTCAGGCTGGGCGCCGCGTTATAGCGCAATCCATTAGACATGCGGCGACGTACGTATACGCGCGCGGGCACGCACCCGTCGCGTGTACGGCCAGCCAACGGATATACGCTCATTCGCATGCTCAGCCACGAACTCGCAATTCACCCTTTCCCCACTCGCGCGCAACCCCTGCTCGCTCTCGCTCTCTCTCTCTCTCTCTCTCTCTGTCTGTCGTTCTTTGCAGAAAGAACGAAATGCCCCGAAGCCCGGTGGCAAGTTATCCCTGCGATATACGCCGAGCCGAGTATCCTTGCAGCCGCTCGCCGACCGCGTCTCGGATCGCGGTCGATCGCGCGCCGGCAGTGCCGCGAAAGGTCAGCGGTCTACGGGGGGGCGTCAAATTAATCCGAGGCATACGTCTTGCGTAATGGCTCTCAGCGCCCCGCCGAGCCACGTGCTGTCAACGCTGGCTTAGGCTGCGCGAATGAAGTCGCACGCGCGCAATTCATTGGCCGCGATCATTCGAAGCTCTGGCAAATTTGCCGTCTGATTTACGCGCGACTCGCCGTGCGTTGACGGTCGCCGGATGCCGGCCGAATGGCGCGCAGGCGGCGCGGCTCGACCAATTTGCGAGGTAATTCGGTCCGGCGCCGGCGAAGCACGGGGCTCGCAGGTGAGTTAGCGCGCGGCCAACTTTGACGATATTTAGTGGCTGAGCGTAGCGCCGAGGTAAATGCCCGGCGGCAGCGACGGCTTAAGGTCTGAGCGCGCGGGCACATTCGCGTTTATAGCCGTAAGCAAGCGAGCACGCGGCACTCGGCGCTGGAGAGCCCTCGTGAAATTAGCGCAGGAGGGCTTTTACGGGCGACTCCGTGGCACGACTTTCGCTCTCGGTGGCTCGCGATCTGCATGCAGCCGCGCCGTCGATTCGCGCGCACAGTTGTTCAGCGTCCGCCACCAAGAAGTGCAGCGCGGCCCAAATGGAAGTCGACTTGACGTTCAAAGGTCCGCCCCCTCTGCTCCTTGCGGCGCTCGAATTCGCAGCCGGTCAGCGTCGTTCCCGAGCTCGCGACGGCATTCCCAGCCGAAGCCTGCTGCTCGCGATGGTGCGAGAAAAGCTGCCGCTACGGATCATCGTTTGTCGCTTAGCCAGTGAGAGCCGAATTCCACGGGGCGGACGCGAGCCAGTCGTGGAACGCTCGTTTTCGATTTTGCCTCGAACGCACTAAGCTGCGACCAAAGAGCCCGCCCGGCAAGTAGACTAATGGCCGCATCCGTTGCCGCGCGTCCGTGAACGTTCGTTGTTCCGTCGTACCAAGAATTTCGACAGGCAAGCTCGTGCGGCGCGTACGTCGTGACACTGAGCGCGAGAGGGACCGCCGGGCGACGCTTCCGAGTCGTCCGTCGGAGGCTGCGAGGTAAGCCAAGCTCGCGCGAGAGGCCGCGTCTCGCTGTCTATTTTAAAGCGGCCCTCGCTCAGAGGCAATGAGCGCACGCGTGCTAGCGCCGATCGGGCGCCGGCGAGCGCGCGAAATTTAGCGCGCGCGTTTGCGTCCAGGAGTGACAGCTGCCGATGCGCCCCGCCATCGGCTGCGAACGCTCGTTGAACGCGCTGTTGTTTGAAAGAGAGAGAGAGAGAGAGAGAGAGAGCGAGCGAGTGAAATAATAATGAATCGGGACTGGCGCCAACGAGAGTCGAGGCTCGTGCGAGCAAAATTTATCAGGATGCGCGTGCAGGGGAGCAGTGCGTCCCGGAACGGCCTTAGCTCGGCGAGAGTGCCGGTATGTAGGCTTTTCTAGCACGCAGCCGCCTTCCAGCCAAGTGCGTGGCTCGGCCAGAACTGCGGCAGTCGTGCCCGTGACAAATCTCTGGCGATCGGGATTCCGAACGCCGCTCGCGGTGAGAGCGCCGCGCGTCGCCCAGCGTCCGCTTCTCGTCCCCTCGGCTCGCCGAAGCAGCCTGCGCGCTCGACAAAATGCTCTCGATCGCGCGGCAAACCGTGTGATTGATTTCTGGCAACTGTAGCGATGTTCAAGATCACTGCCGAGGACCGCCAAGCGTTGTCGGCATTTTCGTCGCGATCTGCGGTTCGGATTCGCGTTGGACGACTTGGCCGTCGGTCGGGGATGAGCCGGCAGCTGTCGACGCTATTCGGCTGCTCGGAAATAGTCTAGGAAAAGCTGGCTCGTGCAAATGGTTATAACTCCTCGCTAAGAAGCTTTCCCGGAAGCCTTTGAAGTCGCGTTATAAAGACTCGCTTATTGGCATTTATTTGTGTAGCCAGTCGAGCGCACTCTCGAAGCTTCATCGAGCGAAGAGATGCTTGTTAGTAAATTGTTGAGCCACGAGAATGTCCGACTATTTGGACACTTGCTCCACTAAACGAGACTTTATTTATTCGGCGGCAGGGCCAGCGAAGTGTTGCGCATCGGTGTCTGCTTGCGCGAGAAGTCGACAAAAGTGAAAGTAGGTGCGCAGTGGGGGAGGGCGGCGGGGCCTATCCAATGAAACGGCAAGAAGGGCATTTAATCCTGCAGGCTAGCGGCTGCTCGCTCTCGCTCGTGTGAACGTCGCGCGCACAGAGGAGCCTTTTTGTCGCGGACCGAGACGAGGCAAATTGGTCCAATTAGCCGCTGTCGAGGAAAAACGAGCTAGTCGAGAGAGCCGCAGCGAACGAGCTCGTGCTGCACGCGCTCGGCTGGGCTCCGGCTTGTCTTTGCGAGCAGCCAGCTATCCCGCGCGGAAGTGCCCCCGGACTCGGGCTGCGGGCGCACTCGTGCGCGCGATTTACGCGTCCGGACGGGCAGCGCTCCACCTCCGTCCCCCCTTTTGCCTCGCTTTCATTCTCGCTCGCTCGCTCGCGCTCGACTCGACCCGCGCCGCCAGCAATTTCGCCTCTTATCAACGTGTTTTTCAATCGCTAAATGCGCCCCCGGCCTCTCCGCCGGACAAACTTGCCTTCGCTCCCCGCGTTGGAGTGTTTGCCAGTGGCTTGAAAAATTCATGGAAATTTATCGATTTTCAGCCGAGGCTTCGCAGTCTCATCAACAGCAAATATTGGCCTTCGATGAACGCCCGCCAAATGGCTCTCGATTCGCCGGCAAGCAGCCTTCGACGACCCTTAGGCCGAGCGTGTCTCGGCGACGCTGTCAGGATCCGAGTGGCGGCATTCCCGGAGCACCGGGAGCAGGACGTAATTGCAGCGAGCGAGGGACCGTTTCACGACGGCTCGCCGAGACGCCAACTCCGCTGACAAACCGATGACTCGTTATTACGGAATATCGACCGAGGCAGCAGCTCGCTCCCATTAGCTGTTGGCGATAGCCGTGGCAGGAGATTGAATAATGCAACGCGTTTGCGAGCAGACCCGTCGCGTCGAGTAAATATTTCAGCGGAGAGAGCCAAGAGCTCGCGGTGCGGGAGAGGCGGCGGCAAGTTTTAACCCTCTTGGGCGCGAGCCGCTTGGCGCCAAGCTGTCCTCTAGCGGCGTCGGAGGGCTGAATCGCTGGTCGGCCCGTGTCTGCTCGAGTCGCAAAGCCTTCGGTCGGAAGAGCGACGTCCGCAAGCCGTGACTTGCAGTTGCCCAGCGGCCGACTCCGAGCGTCAGTCAGTCCGAGCGACGGATTCTTCGTAATCCGTCTGCAATCTTCGTCGATTTACGTAGCAACGAGCTTCTCTGATTTACGCGCGGAGTTTGGCCGTAGCGGGCTCCGAAAGGTCCGTCTTGCGACCGCGGAAATCGAGGCCATCGTTCAGCCCGTTCAGCCGGGACGCCGGGCTCACGGGCCTTTGTCCGCGAGCAGCGCCATCCGGCGCACGGCCGAGCTATTAAGAATCACCGTGAGCTCGCGGCTCTGGTGGCGCTTGTCAGGCGAGGCTCGTCCGCGAGCTAGCAGCTTGAATTTCGGCTGGTAAAGTCGGCGAACAATGGAGTTTTCCGGGGGAGCTCGAGCCCGGGGGATTGATTCCGCTCCGCGCGGGTGGAGGCCTCGGCGAAAGGCAAACTTTGAAAAAGGAGAAGCAAGGATGGACGAATGGATGGAAGAAAGAGGAGGAGCGGAGCGACCGAGTGGCGCTGACGAGAGAGGCGGCGAGCCGGTGCTCGTGTCGCTAAACGAGCCTTGTATTCGTACGCGATGTACGCCGCCGCCGATCGAGCTCCATCCTTACGTTCACCCGCTGCAGTCCGGCCTAGTCCTATATCCTGCTAATCTTGGACGGAGCGTCTCGATGTGCGATCAAAAGAAACGTCATCTTCCTCTGGCCAACGGCAGCTCGATAGGGCATACAGGTCGCGGGCGGTCTTGCTCGGCTGCAAGTTGCGCCAGGCGAATTGGAAAGGGCGCCTCTTCGCCCCCTTTTTTTAGAGCGCATTCAGGGCTCGAGTGCTTTCTTATTATGACGGCTTCGGAACCCTCGGCCGCGCCAGCCGATAGCCGACAGCGTCGCCGAGCTAAGGCCGGCAGAGCGAGAGGGGAGAGAAGCCGCAAGTTTGAAGGGAGATTAAGAAAGCTCGCGGAGAGCCCGTAGCTGTAACTGGCTCGAGTGTAGAGATTAGAGCAGAGGATACAAGTGGGCTCCGAAAGCCATTTGTTTTTCTATCCGCTTGCAAACGCAGCGTCGACTCGGCGCTCGCAAGCTCCAGCGGACAGCAAAGACGC